TAAAAATATATCAGTGGGGAGTGAGGCTGCAATCAAAATACAGGAACCTACTTTTTCAACTGGGTGATGGAATGGGAGGTGAAGAGTGAGATACATGATAAACCTATCCATAGAAGCCTGCATTATATCCCAGATTCCAAGCTTCAATTGAGGAATCTAGATGAGTAGCCAAGGCTTATCTCTAGTTTACCAACAAGACTGGAAAACAAGCTTCCCCAATTGTCTAGTGGGTAAAGACAGTAACCAGTCTTTACCAATCTGTGTCAGTGGATATAGGTTTAAATCCCAAGTCATGCTAGGTTTAGCATTTCTCAGTGCCCTGGGTTAGGAAGGAACAGTCAGCCAGGGATCCTGCTCCTGGTGGAAGGTTCAGGTCAGTTGTGGACAGGACTGATTTAATGCAATATTGCTGTAGTATAATATCCGAATGACACTCAATATCTATGCGCATATGCTAATAATGGTCACTTGTGTGTGGTATTTGGACAATTTCTGGCTCCTATTAAACCGCATCCACATAAAGGCACTAAGATGTCTCCAGATGAAAAGGAGAAGNAAAAAAATTAGACAGAAAATTGGCAGAAAAACAAAGAAAAGAATAGGAGAGATAATTATTAAGTCAAGAACAATTGGTCAGGTAACACCAAGATTGAATTTTAAAACCAATAAATTGCAAGAGGGAAACCAAAGGAGGTGACATGATCCAGATTATTTAGAGTCATGGAAATAACCAACTTGAACATATCGAATCTTAATTTGAACACAGTTAGGACGCTAAGAGTATGAGAGTGCTTTGAATGGCTGGGGAGAAACTTTCAGAGGAGCAAAAGGCATAGTATAAATAAATTAGAGATAGACAAGGAATACAGTGACAGGTAGAACATGATTGGAAGCCAAAGGTGACATAAGATGAACAATTATAAGATAATAAGACTCTTCTTGTACTCTAACTCTAAGGTGAGATGATCTTTCCCAGTCCGGAGGAAACAGTGAGGCCAAGTCAAGGACACAAAAGAAGTTTAATGATGAAAGAACTTTGGCCAATTTAATCTCATCCTGCCAAAATACCCACTCTACCATCAAGCTGTTTGTTGAATGTTCAGCATCCTGGCATCTATTACAGTCACCTTCTTTGTTCACAAATACTTTCTGGTATCTGCCCTGAAATTGCCCTTCAAACGCTGACCCTGTGTTCTCTTTTCCTGCTCCTGGAAGTATTGTTCTGGGATTCATTTCTCAATCCAATTTATCTTTTTATTTACTTCTATAAGGTCCTCCTCAAAGCTAAAGAGACTTTTAACACAGTCTATGTCAGACACCCAACATTCCTCACAACTTCAATACAGGGGATCATTACTATAGTCTTTATAATAAGATATGGAGTATGAAAGAATGTTCATTGATATGGGGAAAGATCAATGAAGAGAGAACAGAGCCCTGAGAACCTCCTAATCTGTTGAACTCTGGTACCATTGACATAAGGGTGCACAGATCTGTGTGCGAACAGCCCTCATGTAGCGATGATATTGTATGACACTATTTGCAAAGAGAAGGAATATCTCCCAAGCTAACAATCCAAAATAGCTGCCCCAAATCTCTCCCCCCCAAAAAAAAGTTACTATACTGAATAATATTTACTCAAGAGGGTTTTCACACATTTCAGCATTATAAAAATGCAAGTTTTTTTCTGCCTTTCCAAAGCCAGATTCACTCCTTTATTGTTTTAACTTTTGAAGCCGAGTTAAGCCAGTATTCTTCAAATCACTCAAATGCTAGGTTTCAAGTGACAGCAGAATTAAAAAATACCATCGGCTGGCTTAATAGCTGTACCAGTTAGAGAGAAGCCACTGAGCTGACTCTAGGAGTCAAATGGCCCAAAGTAATTTTCACATCACGCACCGCATCTTTCACCTCAATGTTTCTAGAGATATGATTAGAACTTGATCGCCTTGATTGGGCAGATGTTAAAAGCTGACACTAGACAGGACATTACCCTATCAGAATTAATCTGTGTTACCTTCACTTTCCACTATTTACATCTTTCTTGAAACTTTTCCATCTTAAAGTATTCGATGGAGAAATACAAGAGGAACTTCAAATTCAATGCCTAAGTATAATATGGCTAACACAGGAGGAAATCTGTATTGATGAGAAACTGAACGCAATTAACCTATTCCAAAGTCTGATTTAGAGGCAGTACTTTTAAACATACAAGTGTAAACCTAAATAAAAACACTCATTGCATAATTAACAATATAAAAATATAACTCTATAAAACTCACCAATTTACTTACTCCACAACTATTTAAGCAACGTTAATGGTTAAAATCGAATCTGCTAGTTTTCCTATTGAACCCCTTACTAGGTAGAGAGCAAAAGCAAAGCAGCACTCCAGTTAATGGATTTATCAAATACCTTATTTCATGCTTTCTGCTTTTGATTTATGAATTTTGATCTCGGAGACAAGGACCCTGTGAGTATTGATTGCTGGAAATGTCAGAGCAACAGAAGTTAATTTCACTTGTACACGCGGAAGTCTCTGATTCTCTGACAGGGCTGTCTACTGAGAATCGTCTGTCGTGGAGCTGGAGTGACACCAGGCCGTCACAGCAGGGAGCCTTCCTCAGTGCAACTGAAAGAACATGATGTTATGACATTTAAAATCTTGTCTGGAAATTGTATCGTAACGCTCTTGCAGCATTCCATGGGAAGCTAATTTTACATCTAACATGAGAAAGGCAGAGAAAGATGGTACCAGGGGCAGGAGACAGGTGGAGCAGTAGCCTTTGAGGGCTCTTGCATTTGATTTCAAAATGTCTGACAGGATAATGGAATGTCATGCTGCTGGCTCTTCACTGATTGGGGACAGTTTGCTACTTATTGATTGGCTTTATTTGCAAATTATCAGTCTGAAAGCCAGCGCTATTGCAATTTTAGATGCAATTGGTTTCTTTGGGAAGGTGGAAGCAATAGCTGACATTTGGTGGCTTTAGCACATTGTTTTGTACTCCCACAGCACACAGAATCGAGGGAAGAAAAAAATTCAAGAAAAATAAATCTGGATGCTAAATCTAGCCTGTAGTTCTCTTTGGCAATAAGAATTTGGCGTGGAAAAGTCTAAATGCAAAAACAAAAGTCATCTTGGAGGGTTAAAAATGCTAAAGGGAATGATTTTAACAAGTAGAATTCAGAAACACAACACTGAAATATGCTATGTCAATGTCTTTCTATGGAGATGTTAGCTTTGAAATTTCATTGGCATAGAATCATGCTGGAGTCACAAAATTCTCTCAACTGGTTACTGTTTGCATGCAGTGTCTTGCAGATTACAAGAGAGATAGCACTGTCTTCTGTGAAATCCTGATTAACCCTTTTTCTTCCCAAAAATGAAGCACATTTTATTGACTTGAATGCTGGGAAAGGTGACAAAACAAACAGCCCACTTTGGGATGAACATGGTTATGTTTTGAATGCAAATATTTAGAACAGTATCTGCCAATTGAGATTTCCACATATCTGTAGAGAATATTTTGCAAAGAAAATTGCAAGCCAAAATAGTTATAAACAAATAATTAGACAAAAAGACTTAACGTGTTTTTTAAAATGAACGACATACTTCTAAAACATTGACTTTATCTCTATATCCTGCAATCAAAAACTATCTCTATTGTGCACTGATGAACCACTGGGTCTTCAGGTTCAGAATTTAGATAATAATAAAAGAAACTGAGGTTTTTTTTAATAAACCAAGATGTGAGTTTGCAGAACTGACTCAAGCTGAGGACAATGAACATTTACATTAAACTTCACTCTAATTTTCCTGAAAATCTAGTCGATTTCAAGAAAATGCGTTCTCAAAGGCCCAGAACAAAGTCTGAATTTCCATCCTGAGGAACAATGGTGGCTCCTGATTCACATGAGGAAAGACCTCTCTCCCATCTCAAAACGTGTCATAGATCCTACAGCTTCAAATTAATTCAATCACTGAACAGAGAATACTTTACCATTGTGCTACAATACAAATGCTCTTTAACACTAGGAAACATCTGTATCTCAGGAAAGGCTGAGATTCACAAAAGAGTTACAGTTTTACAGAGTTTCACCAAAGTGAACAAGCCCATATTAGGCACCAACACATATTTATCCTAATATTCAATTTCCTTTTTAATGTAAGTTTTGTTTTCACATTGTTGATGAGAAATATGGGGAGAGATATGGGCAAATTGTTAAATTCAGTCTTAACTTTTAAGATGGTTTTCTGTAATTCTTAAAAGAAACTGACTTCAAAATTAAGGCTGCATCTAAGAATTTGCTAAAGTCTGGATGCTCTGAAATGTTACATAAATAGAGTAAATCTAGACTCAGGTGGAATTTCTACCCCACAGAGTTGCATTTTGCGTACAAAAGCACACAGTCATTCCACTTTACTATATATACTGTGAAGTGCTTTGAAACATCCTTCCGATTTGAAAGGCACTGAACTAACTGCAAGGATTATTATTATTTGAAGAGTTACTTGGATGCATAACAATAAGAAAGTTTCTTATACGTACACCACTTTGCGTTGAATATCAGCAGTTCAGGCAATGGATTAAAAATAACTATTTGATGTTACACTCAAATGAAATAGTACCTAGCAATCAAAGTTATGCTTTTCAAACATACAAACATGAGTGGATAAAGTTATTGTTGACCCGTGAATTTAACTTTCTGAATTCCAGAACTTTGCAAGATAAAATGTTAAAAGTTGTTTTAACAAACAGCCTGTTAATATATTAGAGCCTATTTCTCTTTGTAAATGATGCATTTTAAACTATTCCATAACATTACATTTCATTACAAAGAGCTAATATATTAAAGCAAGAGTTAGACACCTAGAATGGGGATCACAAGCTGCTTTCAGAAGGAACTCATAGAGAAAAGGAAGAAAAACAGCTAGTTATAAGTATTTTTATGAACAGCACAAAAATAACGACCAACACAATAATTTGATTTGTATTTTAGTTTGTCTTCAGTAGCTACAATGCATGTTTTAGTGAAAATAAAGGTATCATTTCATTAAATCGGATCAAATGGTACAAGAGCAATATACTTGCTGTCTTGCTTTTTTTGTATCAAGGATTTCCCTTCAACTGCGGCTCCAGAATGGCTTTGATTCTTTTTGTTATGTCTCTTTCAAATGCATGGAGGTGAGCAGCCACATCATCTCCAACATAAAAGGTGTCCAGGACTGTTCAGATCTCTGCCTTTACAGCTGTCCATGTTGCATTGAATTTCTGTCAGCCTTGTTCGCTTATTGTTTGTGAGTTTGATTAAAAAAAAACAAAAAAAAACAAAATGCAATTACTCTGGCTGAAGGAACCAGACTCTATCACTCATACAGATAATCTCAGGGTAATGTGACAAGCGTTGCCACGGCAACTGCAGGAAGAATTTAAGACTAAGAGTTTGTCTTCTCATCTTTCTGCTTATTGTTTTAATGGATTAAAACTTCCTACTGAAATAATTGAGAATCTGTACGGGAAGACAGCTTTCAGAGAGCTCCCAGTAACGTGTCTGCTTTGCTCAGTGGAGCAGGGAAACTTAAAAGCATTTTTTGTGGTTTCTACAAACTCATAGCCATGTGTAAATTTGGTTTTAGGTTAAATTACTGAGCTCTTGGCTGACTATAATACCCAGCGCCTGCTCGAGCAGTTTGATTTCCGAACTTTTACTTTGGCGGTCGTGATTGAACATCACAGTGGGATAAAATAAGAGGCTGGTCCTAGTGTGTGTAACCATTTAGTTTTATTTCTTATTTTGTTAAGGGGAAGCACAGCTTTCCACAGTGGGTAGCTTGGGGAAATAGGCAAATTTCAGAAGTTTGTCTTCAAAAAACATCGCCTATTAAATGTTTGGAATCACATATGTTGTCATGTTATCATTTTGCACCCAGGTGCTTCCAAAGAATTGTGTTGAACAAATACACAGTGTAGCCAATGCAAAAGGAACAAGCTTTAATTCTATAATTCTATTTTTAATTGTAGTTTAAATGGAGAGCTCAGCTTTAGATTCTGATAATAACAGGAAGAACTAAAGGTGCTTTGCAATAATAAAGGTCAAGTGTAGTGACTCTGTCTCATAGGCAAATGTGGCATCCATTATGCACACTATAATAGTATCTCATAGTGCAGAGTAAATGCATGCATTCGCATGTGCTATTTCCAGGAATGCAAATGAGACTACATTTCCTACCTTCCTTGGGTTCCCCATTTTGCTGCTACAAAATGCCTACTTATGGTATACTAAACATTGCTTGCTTCTGTGATTAACACCATAAACAGCCTCATCATAATTATCACGCTATTAAATGGCTATTACATGAAGTCTCAACCCCTCTGCAGTTACTTTCCATGTTTAAGCAATTGGAAGATGCTGAATGTCATCTTGTGGCCATTGTGAGAGAGAGATCATAACATCACAAGATCAGTTTAGGTGAAGAAGACCCTTCAGCCCATTTGATCTCACACTGCCAGAATAACCACACTCCCAACCTCCCATCACAAGCATCAAGGTATTTTTTAAATAAGTCCATCTTCCTGACCTCAACCAATCACCACCCTTCCTGGTATTCTGTTCCAGTTGTCCCACACTGTCATGTGTGGCATCCCTCAGGGTTTTGTCCTCATTCCCTTCCTCTTCAATCTATACATTCTCCCGCTCGGCAATGTCATCTGCAAGCATGGGGTCAATTTCCACATGTGTGTGGGTGACACCCAACTCTATCTCGCCGCCTCCACCCTCAACTCCAGGACCATTGAGGTCCTGGCAAATTGTCTATCTGACATCAAGTCCTGGACGAGAGCCAACTTCCTCCAGCTCAATGTTAGCAAGACAGAGGCCCTTCTGCTTGGCTCCCAGCAGCGTCTCCTCACCTTAGCCACTAATACTATCACCATTCGTGGCTGCACTCTTCACCTCACCGAGCCAATCCGAAACCTCGATGCCCCTTTCAACCCTCAGATATCCTTCAAACCCCACATTCGTGCTGTGACTAATTCCACCTTCCCACACCTCCGCAACATTGTCCTCTGCCTCTCACCGGAGGCCGCCGAGACCCTGATCCACGCTTTCATTACATCCCTGTTTGTCTACGCCAACTGTCTGCTCGCTGGACCTCCCAACTCTTCCCTTTACAAACTGCAGATTATTCAGAACTTTGCAGCTCAGGTCCTCTCCCACACCAGGCTCCAGGAACCTATCACCCCCGTTCTTGTCCAGCTTCACTGGCTCCCCATTCCTCAACAAATCGAGTACAAAACCCTTGTTCTTAACTTCAAGGCCCTCCATGGTTTTGCTCCCTCTACCTCTCTGCCCTCATAACGCCACATCTTGTCCATTCCCACCTCTCGGCAGACACCGGCCTGCTTCAGGTCTCCCATACATGCCACTCCACCATTGGCGGTCGGGCAACCAGCATCTCTGACCCCACACTCTGGAACTTTATCCTGCAATCCTGCACCTCACCCCCTCTGTCGCCTCCTTCAAATCCCATCTGAAGACCTTCCTCTTTCATCGTGCCTTCACCCCCTCCTACCCCCACCCCGACCGCCCTCATCCCCTTCTGATTCCAACTCCCAGCTCTGGTCCAAAACTCCTGATTGTCCAGCGCCCTGGGACATCTTTCTGATATGAAGGGTGCTATACAAGTATAATTTGTTGTTATTGTTGTTCCATCATGCTCTTCACATTTCAAGCAGTGGCCTTATTTCTCTGTTCTCTGTCTTATTTCTCTGATCTGACGAAGGGTCGTGGACCCGAAACGTTGACTCACTTTCCTTTCTCTATGGATGCTGCCTGACCTGCTGAGTTTTCCCAGCTCTCTCTGCTTTTGTTTCAGATTCCAGCATCTGCAGTATTTTGTGTTTTGGCCTTATTTCTCACCTGTTGAGGTGTTCTCTGGAGCACCTATCACTCTTCACCTTGGAACAACGCCATCAGGGCTTGAATTACACTGGCCCTCCTGGAGGGTGATTGGAAATGGGGAGTGAGAACTGTCACTATGCCACTACGCAGCAATTCAAGCCTCTTCGGTGCAACTCAGATAATAGCTTCAGGATCTAGTTTGTGTAGAGAGAGAGGGAGAAGAGCACAGTTAGAAACTGAGTTTCGCTCCACAGAGTTGAGGGGAAAAATGAATATGAAAACTGTGGTTTCAAAGAAAGTGGATCGTGTTTGCAGGAACAGAAACATCTTCAGCAAATATTGGAGATCTTTACCATCTGATTTCATTCACGGTGCTTTCTCCCTTCTCTCATTGAATAGCGATATCACAAGGGCATAATTTCTCAAGTCACATCAAAAGATATTTTGCTCCTCATTCCCTCTTCCACCTTGTGCTCCCGCTTAATGCTTTGGTGGAAGGCACAGTTAAAAAGCCACGTCCAGCTGGCTCAGCAGCTCAGATACAATTGCATGTGAATGCCGAGAAATAGATAAACAGTAAATGGGGGGTAGGGTGCGGGGGGAGTACTACTGTAAACAAACCAAACAGCAGAATGAGCTTTAGTGGCCAGAGGCAGTGTCACTATGCAGCACAACTCCTAATCCGTATCACAAACAACTTCCAGATGCACAGTTCACGAGCATCAGTCGGGTGGCCTTCCCTCTGCAGATGCCTCTCTACGAGGGGGGTCTTGGAGCAAAATTGGGGGCATTTTTCCTAATCGTTCATTTCCAATCTTCCTGAAGGGGAACTTTTTATTCATAAATCCTTTTCATCTCTGTCTCTTTGATTAGGAAGGGAGATAATCGCTAAGTCATGTGTGCACATGAGAGGAATAAAACAGGATTGCTGGGGGGTCAGTTTTTAACATGTGCCTGAGTGGAAGGAAACAAATGAAGAAAGGAAGGACAATGAGAGTCTTAAATGGTTCCAGTTGACCATGAGCAGCAGAGGAGGGCATGAATGGGAGAGGATAGGGTGGATTGGGCACGCATGGCAGCCTGAACTAATTCTCATCTCTCGCTTCGTACCTCACTGGCAACTGCTGCTGGTGGAGGTAGAAGACCGGACGATTGAAAGGTTAAGTTTAGCTAACTTTCACAGGCAGGCCAAAAGTGAAGGGTAAGCCGGAAATCTTCAAAGAAGAGATATTTCTTTTGTTGCATAGAATTTGCAAAAAAAAAGGGGAAAAAATCCACTGTTTGTAGCATTGTCATTTGAAGCATCTGAGCCAATCAAACATTCCTTTATTAACCCGTATTCACAAAAAACAGAAAAATGGTCCTCTATTATTTAAATGAAGAATCTTTGCAGCTATACATACACTTTGTATACCTTGTCCCTAGATAGCTCCCAATCAGCTTTGAAAAGTGCTATGAATATTGGATAAAGCAGGCTCCTGGTGACATCATCCACCACAAGAGCAGAACATCGATTAAAGCAGCTTCAAAATCAATTTACAACTTTAAACTCACGGCCAAATGTTGCTAATATGTAAAATGAGCGAATCTTTTAGTCAATAAAAGACAAATGTTGTTTTCTGCTTCATTTGCTGGGCATGCTCAGTGGTGGTCATATGGTGGTGCGACACAATGCAGGTAACAGACATTAAGACCAGAGCAATGTTAGACATGATGATATACACTCCATTTGATAAGGTTTATACATTCACTATCTCTGCATGTATATACCACTCAATTTGGATTTACTTTTCATTTTTCTCCCCTTTCCTCCCTTCTGCTGAAGGCAGTGACTCATTCTGTGTTTGCTTCCACTGGAGCTGGTTTACTTATAGTCGTATATCTCCCAAGTGACTATCCTATTCTTAACAGGTGGGTCTCAAGTTAGTAGGGCATTTGACCAGTGAGGCATCACTCCCCAGCATGATTAGTGCTCTTATCACTGGGGTAAAATTTCACCCAGGCTACATTTATTCCATTAACAATTGACAATTCAGAACATCTAGAATTTAGCAGTTGAATTCTTAGGAGAACTCACAGAAAACCCCTTTAAATTAAGACTGACTTTAGGAATTTGACAAGCTCTGTACATTCTGAAATGCCACATTAATAGAGTAAATCTAGACCCAAGTGGAATAATACCCCTCAGATCTGTGCACAGATGGACTGTTGTGTTATGAGTCACTGGATAACAAACAGGAGCCTGCCCAGGGCAGCTGAGACTAATTGTAGCAAGCTTACTGTCTCTCTCCCAGACCAGAGATCAAACTTAGCACCTTCAGCAGTGCTTCAAATAATTCTGTTTGAGAAAGGAGAGTTCAGGTACCAGGTTATTCAGATCATTAATATTTGGTAAGCCTCAATATTTATGTCAGTAATTAGAAAAAATAACATTTGGCTGCTGTAGACTTAAAATAGAGCACTTTTTGCATGGCGTGATCTTGAGCTGATGTGATATACTGATAAAATCTGGCAATGTTTTATTTTTTAAAATAATATGATAATTTCAGGGACAAAACAGTCAGGTGTTAGCTCCCTCCAAGTTTAGGTAGACATAAAGATCCTGTGGCACAATTTGAAAAGACAGAAGTGTTGCCTCCAGATAAAATTGGTCACTGACTTCATGGCTGTTTGTAAACAATTGCTAGGTGCAAACTGTCTGCCTACAAATAAACAGTCACTATACTGTAAGAAACTTTGAGACATTATAGGCATTATAGCAAATGCAAGGATTATTTTATTTTTTCTAGGTGACTTAAAGTGACTAATAATTGTAATGTATGAATAAAGCAATGTTTCATATTTTGATGTTTGTGCAAATTCAGACAGGGAACACATTGTGAAATGCCACACACTAATGACTTGATCCCATAAAATATAATTATCCTAAAAGTTTGTAATAAGTTAGTATTAATGTGAAATGTCAATATTTACTTTGTAAAATTTCATCAGCTTAATTTTGCAAAGTCATTCATGTTAATCATTCAATGTCAGGTGTTATTTCTTCAAGCTGTTTCTTTTTCCAAACTTTGATGACTGTGTTAAGTGATACCCACCAGTTTCTAAATGCTGGATGGTCCAAAACATTCTTCCAGTGGCCTGGTGTGTAAAGCTATGGCATGTAAAGCCAGTGGAGTCCTGTAGCTCAGTGGTTAGAGCACTCGCCTTGCAAACGAGACACCTGGGTTCAATTCCAGGCAGGGCGAAACCTTGGGCAGGTTTCCTTACTCCACACGCCTAATAATAATCCCTCCAAAAAAAAAACCAAAACAATAATAAATTGGTCATTTTCAATCTACGACTGTTTGTGGGACATTGCTTTGCGCAATTGGCTGCCGCGTTCGCCCACAAATATACAGTCAATTCACTTTACAGTGTGTTCTGTGAAGCGCTTTGGGACGTCCTCTCGACGTGAAAAGCGCTATATCAAATGCAAGGATTATTATTATTATTATTATTTAGTGAAATCTCATTTATTTTAGCGAACAATACTACACAAAGTTAAAAGAGTGAAAATGACAACGTGTGAGGCATTTAATACCAACGGTGACATTATTGATAAATGCTGTCACAAAGGACAATAACTTTGACTTCCTCCCAATTCCATCACAATGTGTTTGAAGGCACTTTGTGTCCACCCTCTGACTCAATAGCCTGTTTGCTGGCTGAACTTTTTATTGCCATTAGTTACCAACATTGCTATTAGAACAACACACAATGCGCTTAAACATAACTCATTGTTTGAAGTATATTGAGATGTTTTGAATTGATAAGGGCATTGTAACAAATGGAAGTGTTATACATGTGATAGAGTGTTTACTTGTTCTAGGGTACAATTTCACTGCCGTTGGCCACCCTCTTCTTTATTCGTCAGCTTAAATGGTGTGTGTGTTAGCAGGCTATTTGACTGTGGGGCATCAAAATTGAGCTGACCTTGTTCTTGACATCCACACAAGTACACGTTTCAGCAGGGGACACTGCATAGTGGTGCAGGAACCCTGGTTCAGTTTTCCTTTCCCTCTGGATACTGAGGCTCTGACTGGCATTCTCACTGAGATCAGCCAAATTCAGAAAAGTCAGAGTTGAAACCCAGAACCTTGATGCTCTGTATGGATCATTTTTCTGTTTGGCAATGTCTTTTCCAACTGAGCCATTGAAGGAACTCTGTGATAAGTTCCAAAGGATCTCTATTGAAATATAAATGTATACCAGTAGTGCTGATAAACTTCCATTGTGCCTGAACACTCTGAGAGTTGTTGCTACAAGCCTATCCATGTGTGTGGGTTAAACTGATCATATCATGGGTATCAATGGAAGAAACACTTTGTATCCCACTTACAGTAACGACCACAAAAACTCACTAATGACATTTTGAGTCCAATTTCAACCCACGATTTAATCTGTTTTCAAAGGTAATTGTTTATAGTAATCAAAATGTTAATAGCTTCCAGCCGTCTGATTATTTGATTACATTTTTAAGCTGATTATGAACACTAACAATTATACATTTTTGGGCCACCCTACTGTTTGCGTTATGTAGGCCTAATTTGCAACACCGGAAGAATTACCACAAAGTAAAAATTCACGGATAGTGCCATCTTATCTATATGCTAGGAAAAACAAAAATCTCATCAGCACATCCTACAGGATATGATATTCAAACATCCTCTATGATCCCCATGATTCTTCCATGTTTTCATAGCGTTTATGATAAGACCCTGCGAAATGAACGATAAATCCAGTAAGGTTTTTAAATTTGTTTTACGCTGCATGGGCGCTGCCAGTAGTTCCGAATGGGAAGTGGGAAGCCTGCTTTATATTCCCCGTTCCACATCATTTGAATTGTAAATTATGTATTTCTGCATTCTATTTGAAAGAGGCAGGAATTTCTCCCAGTACCCTGGCCAATAATCTCCCAGAAATATCGATCATTTACTGCATTGCTGTGCATAAATTAGCTACCACTACACCATACATAATAATAATCTTTGCTTTTGATATAGTACAATTCACATCAGGAGTTTGTCTCAAAAAACTTCATGGGATTTACTGTCAAGTGACTGTATTTTGCAGGTGAATGCAGCAGCCAATTTGCAAACAGCAATGAAGCAGCCTTGAAGTGAATAACCAATATTACCTGGAAGATTGTGGCCAGGACACTGGGAGAAACTCTTGCCTCTTTTTGAATAGTGCCATGGGATCTTTGATGTCTGCCTAAACAGACATAAACAGGATTACACGTCCAACATTGCAGGGTTCCCCCAGCACTATTTTGGAGTGTCAGCCTAAATTGTGACTTCTGATGTGGAAGTACTCATGTGACCTTCTGACTCAAAGGCAAGAGTGCTATCAATTGAGCCAAATTGCCACCTGTGAGGTATTCTGTGAGGTACCTTGAAATATTTTGATGCAATAAACCACTTTTAGAAGGATAGTTATTATTATTATTATACATGTGCATACCTTGGTGTAAGCACAGAAAACAAAAGCAGGGCTTTACTTTTAGTGTTATTATAGAGCCAATCGCATGATCAGATCTTTAATAACAATTAATAAAATGCCTTATTTAATTTCTTGAACAACTTACTAATATACAGCTCACAGGAAGGAAGTCAAAAAAGAAAGTGAGAAACAGACAAAAATAAAATCTGAGCAAACTTAATTGAATTGGTACTCCAACATCCTGAGTGTGTTACGGTTACACCATAAGGTTCTACTTGAGGTATTGGTGAGAAGTTAGCTACCTCAGTACACTAATGGCAAGTAACATTGTGCGTTGCAAACTTGGTTTACTTCATATCTAAAGAGAACACATAATTTGTATGGCCATTGGCATACTAAGAATTATCCAGTTAATCCCCTTGCACTCCTCGCGCACCCCACCACCCCACCACAATGATGCTGGTGCTCTTACAGAGTACCTGTGAACCCCTAGTCGGTTTAGACAAATAGGCTGACTGGGTTTCTGCTTGCTAAAAAAAAACTGACCTCCGTGTCATCAAGTTGCTGCCACGATCATTTCCTATCTACTGTGAATGTGTACTATACTCAGGAAGCTTCATTCTTTACCGGGTAAGACAGGATTGAATTTTGTGATCCCAGACACTTTATAACAGCAGTCTGCTGTACCTGGGAGACTTGTACTGATCTGTTTCAGTTCCACATGTATTGACCCGAGCCGTCTGAACTCTAACCCTGTTCATCTGGATTGTTGCCGTAGGGAAGAGTATAAGGAACATCTTAGAGTAACTTGAATCTTTTAGATTTACATTACTTTACAATTTTGTCTTATCAAGGTGAGTGCTGACCATGGGATCTAGTTTTGGATCTTCACTAATTGATTTGTAAATAGAGCATCCTGCAAGTGTCCCGATGTGTCTGAGGCTGACTCTCCAGAACTCTGTTTGGGTGACAATCTCCATTGATTTACTGAATCAATTAAGGAGCCTCCTTTGGATTCAACCCAGCCTTACACAAGTTACATAGAGTGACACAAGAACAGGCCATTTAGCCCAACCAGTCCACAGAAGTTTTTATACTCCACATGAGTCCCCAACTGTTCCATTCCTCTCACCTATACCTCTCTATTCCATAGAAACCAAGGTTGAAATCTAAGCCAAGGTCCAGAAGAGTGGCTTCAGACAAATCCAAGTATCTGCAAGATTCACTATTTAAAATCAATCTCCAAACACTCATTGCAGGAGCATGAATAGACCCGGAAACACCATTTGCAGGAGAATAGAGAACATCCCTACTTTAGGCACAGAGTATCATCAAGCATTCATACATCAGTTAAAATGCAGGCCAGGCACAGATTAAATTCTCTCTAATCTGACTGAATAATATCCTTCAACATTAATCTGAGAATAGTGTCTCTGAGTGTACGAGGCTCAATTACCCATTTTCAATTATTAATTGTTGATTTATGAATAGTTTGTGCTATAGACAAGTGCTCATTAAATTTTTTACCCAGTCTTATTCTGTGTTTTGTCCTAAAGTTTACGATTGCAGTGTAGTGGAAATTTCCTAAATAAAATCTGAATTTGAAAACTGTTTTTTTTTATATCCTGAAAAAAATAGTTTACAGATTAAAGCAGAATTCAAACATTTTCCACAATTCCACAGAATCTAAAATTTTAAGACAAAACATTCTTGTAGGTCAAGACTAGGTGAAATTTCAAATCTCAGATGCAGTTGATGACATGTTTTGTTTTTAGTGAGTGAGAATTAAGTCTGTTCTTAAATCTTCAGCGAGGCTGAGTAAAACTATTTTCCCAAAGTGGGAGGGGAAGGGGGAAGGTTCAACCCCAAATCTGTCATTAAGGTCATTAAGGGCAGGTTTTAAGAATATTCTTCAACTGAGTATTTTTCCCTTTGATAATCAAGTTACACATTTATTTTTTCACTTCATGTGGGACAATGCTGTGCACAAATTCAACTGCCGCATTCGCTTACACTTTAGAGTATATCCTGTGAAGCACTTTGAGACAGCCTACCGACATGAAAGGCGTTGTATCAAATGCAAGGATTATTATTATTACTTTTCTCTCCTAAAGCAGCTTCCTAACAGCTATGGCAGCGCATACATTTCCAATCAGTATGCTGGGCTGCATTCAGAGCCAAGTCTCAGAGGTGATGGGCTCCTCGAAGATATCTTGCGATGGGTTAGCTTACATGAGATCTCAGAAAAGTATAATCAAATCAAAAACAACTAAAATAACTTTGATTTTACAACTCATGCAGCATTAACCTCAGCTGTTTTTTGTTTTACAAAAATACATATTCATAGTAGCATCTAAATTTTTATTAATATACACCACAAATATTTTATCACAAAATACAATGGATTTGTTCTACCTGCATACATTTAACATGGTGCTGGCAGGAGCAAAAGACATCTACATGGCCTTCCCTTTCAGTTCTGGGCTTCCGAAGCTTTGCCTCAAACAGTTGATTTAAAGCCATGACTTCACCATCTGACTCAGTCCTTCCACCACTCTCATGAATATCAAGCACTATTAAAACAGAAAGGCAGTTGCGGGCTTTAAGATTTTCTTGAAGAAGAAAAACAATGAATGTGACAGACTGTACAATTGGATCCTATAACCTCCCCCA